TTTTTTTTGCCAAATTTGCCAAATCTACTTTTTTCTCAATTAAAAACTTTATAAATGAGGCTAACAAAGTTTAGTTCAAAGAAGAGTCAAGTAAGATCTCTTTAATATTTTTCTCTTTGTGTAATGTCTTTATTAGTTAACCAAATATGACTCAATGGGGAATAGACTAATATTCATAAGGAGAAATATTAGGAAGGTTGTTGCAAAAGAAAGTACAATGGACCTGCATTAATGATTCTGACCTCTAAATAGTCACTGGGAACAGACTCAAACTTAGTGAATGTAAGAGCCTATAAATGAAGGATCACTTTGCAGAACACTTAAGGATTATTAAGGAATTCCATATTTCTCCTTGTTCTTATTTTTTTTTCTATATTCACCTTCTAAAGGCAACTTCATAGTAACTTCTAACTTTACACCATAAATATTTGAAATAATAGTAGTAGTATCAGCACAATTTTTAGTATACATAAATATGAGTTTTTTAGGTTATTAATCTCAAAACACAATAGCTAGATAAATCATTGTACCCCCTTTTGGATACCTATAAAGAGCCCCTTAAATTATTCTTTATTATGTGTCTGTGTATATGTACACATATAATCTCTATCCATATTCCACTCAAAGGTGATTCATTTAGCTAATCCCATTAAAAAAGTGCAAAATGAGGCTTATATAAGATGGGCCACCCTATATAATTTCTAGCTTACATGGTAAAAATTTAGTACTCTGATCTAATGTTCACAGGGCAGGGAGAGTTACTACATAGCAAATAAGGAAAATAATGAATAACATGTGCAGAAACTACAGCCAAAATAATAGAGGAAAAGCATATTGCACACAGCGACTGTTAGGTTGTATCACCAAGGACCACCCTCTGCGGAGCCATGGGGAAGAAATCCGGACCTTGACGGCACATGCTGAAACCATGTCATCTTTTCCATAGAGACTGACTCCTCCTAGGGGAGGAGAAGCAACAGTGGAAGAGAAAAGAGCTGTGAACACCATAAATCCTGATACAGACCCTTGGGTGGTAGAAAAATATTTATCGGTTGCAAAAGAGACTGCTTTTTTGATGCTTCTGAATAATACTTCGGGTTATATTGGTATTTGTACAACTTGGGTTTTAGATATTCTCCACCATGGATGTTGTGATAACTTGGAAGAATTCACTTGTATGTTAGGGTTGTCTAGACTAGTGTGAGATGGCACAAAATAGAAGCAAGTCTACAAGTCAAGAAAGTAAGTAAGTTCTAAGGAGTGAAGTTGGTAACCTTTTTTACGAGGTGGCAACAGAACAGAAAGGTATATCTACAGAATTTTTAACATGCAGTTAAAGAAATTTCAGCTATGCTTATCTCTTTTACCTGACATGAGCACTCCTCTGAGATACATCACTTTCTAAGTTATCGAAGAAGCCTCTCCCAAGGCATCATCACTTGTATACCCTCTGAAATTATTATTATCATGGCAGTTCCAAGATAATAAGTTATAAGACATTTGAAATGAGTGTAGCATGAAGCTTTCTGATATTATTTTGTTTTGCTGTCCTGTAACCTGCTTATAGCAAGGAGCCTTTTTAAAATGGATTCTATAAAAAGAGTTTAATATCTTTTAATATGATTTCAGTTTGTCTATCCTGAATCCCCTTAAACTACATTCTCTCCCTAAGACATACTGCTGACACCCCCACAGTACATCGTGCCCAGAGCTGGAAGGACTCATATTAGGACGTGCCACACTTTTACTTCCACGGACCATCTTGGTGTTTTAGTGGCAATTAGTAAATGCAGTGCTTGTTCCCTGATTTGTTTGATCCTGTTGAATTCTTAAAATCATCATTATTTAGTTAAAAATTTCATAGTCAGGCCCTCCCTGGTGGCACAGCAGGTTAAAGCACAGCACTAAGAAGCTAAAGCCACCTCAGCATGAGTTCGATCCCTGCTGCAGAGGTGATCCACATGGTGCAGCAGACCTCTCCTGACCTGCCCGCTGTTTCCCTCAGCAGTGTGCTTTATCAGTTGGCCTGTCCTGCTCCCCACTCTGTCTCTGGTGAATCCTCTTACCCCCTGTACCTCTGACCTGTACCCCAATTCTGTATGCATAAATAAATAAAATTAAAAAAAAATTCATAGTCACTGACATAAGCCATTCCAAAACATTGCTAGGAAAGCCAGGTGTGCGTGTTCTAGAAGAATGTTTGAGTTGCTAAAAAACTTGCTGTTGAATTCAGGGTGAGTCAATAACAATAAACTGGAATGAAGGAGGTCATTCCACTCAGGTCTCCACGTTATTGCAAAAAAAAAAACAACAAAAAAAAAAACAAAACAAAACATGGTTTGTGCCTCCTGGTGACATTTCTGCAACAAAAACATGTAGAAGTTCAAACAGATTCCCTAGCCAAAATTAGAAGGAAAATGATAAATACCAGATGGCCTCACTTATATGTGGAATATAGAGAAACCAAACAAAAGGTCAATAAAAAGTCAAAAAAGCAGTTGACCATAGAACTGAGGTATGTAGCAAAAGAGGGGGTAGGAGCTGGGGGCAAAGCAGGGGAAGGAAGATACAAGGTAATGTGGTGATGGTGACATGGAGACAGAACCATGGGGACTACAACAATGTAAGAAAAAAAAATTAAAAATATAAAAAGTGGTATGCACGAGAAATATTCTATAAAAACAGAAAAAGATGAAAATGGGTGGGGAAGAACCAGATTCCTATGCAAAATGAGGGGTTTTGCCCCACATCACAAATTTGAACATTATATTTTGAGTTAAATGTTTTAAGTGTCTGTTAAATTTTTTAGGGATTTCTATCTGGCATCTTTATTTTAGCAACCAACGGCTATTTCAACCTCATCAGAAAAGAAGTGTTTTCACTATTTAATGAATCTTCTTCCAAATAAGTTGTCTACTCTTAGCTTGCTAGTGGACATGAATGCCCTTGCTAGAAGCCGCCACAGTGTGACCTGGGAATGTCTCTCACATCATCATCTTATTGTTATTAAGCAGGCACTGTTCTTGCCAAGGGGATTGGCACTCTGTTTTTCACACCTGAGTCAACCACATTCTTGGCCAGTTTTAATTTGAGAGTATTGAAAAGTGTGTCAAGTAGAAAAAAGCAGTGCTGGTTCTAATAGCATTGAGGATAGAAGCCCTGTTTAGTCCAGCTCTTTTCTGATGCTTCTTTAAATCACTAACATTAGCTCACTGCAGAGATTTCTCCTTTATTACATGTTCAGTTTATAAAAAAAAAAAAAAAAGCAAAAAAACACAAATACCACTACTTCCTAGTTCTGTGTGACTTCACAGTGTGCTTGTATTGTGAGCCTTCTAAGCTGGGAACTGAGTGAATGTTTTTAAATGCTTTTCTCTTATGCCCATTGCCCACTTGTTAGGTAGATCACTTCTTGGTAAGCCTTCTTTTTTTACATTTGCTAAATGTTTGCTATAACCCATGTTTAAAACATGGACCTAGAACTAATGGGCTCACCAACTTATATTCATCTGATCCGAAAATGAGTTGAAAATTTCTTTAAAGAAAAATGGGGACTAACAATGAGAAAAACTGAGTGGCCCAAAATACATCCATTCCTTTGCTATATTTACAGTGGTGGTATTTTATTCTATTGCCAGACTTTGAAAGGAAATCCAAAATATCAAAACAGTTCCTTTATATAGCAGCCACTTATTCATAAAGTGCCTAATCTGGATCAGAGTTGGGAATACAAAGCTGAGGAAACTGATACACACTGATTCATAAACAACTCACAGACTAAGGCACTGATTCTCAAACTTGAAATAAAACCTGGAGCTGCTCTGGCCGTAGCCTTTCAGAAGGGCAGAGGGCCTTCTTAAAGTACCTAATTTGCTCAGAATAGCCTTTGCTAGGAATTTCTCCTAAAAAACAATCATCAGAAAAATGTGCAAATATGTATTGTTTCTTTCAGAGTAACCATCTTCATTTTTAAAGAATAATACAATATGTGGTTTATCAAGGCTCCTACTGAAAACCTAACCTTAACCTTAACCTCTGCTTAAACTTGTAAAGAATTTAGACCTGATTTTTTTTCTTTTCCAATGACATTGTGTGTGTTTATTGCTTCATACTATTTAATTGCTTAATAGTTTATCAAGCTCACCATTTAGTTTCCGATATTTCTCTGTAATCACCAATATGATGTGGATGATACCTTAAGTTAATTAAGTTGATATAGTCTCTTTGAACCAGCCAGTCACTGTCATGGGATTTCTTTCTTCACTGACTTTTTTTTATAAGTCTCTGAAGAGCTGCTCCAAAGTTAAAATCAAATATAAGTTTAGTACCAATACTAGTGTTCTCTGTTCTTGATTCCAATTTGTATAATAGATCTTTTGATTCCATTTGGCCATTAGTCAGTAGGTCTGGAAGGAAATTGAGGCACATAAAACATATTATCAAGTGGTTGGTATTTAGTTGGCTCACCATGGTGTCTGCCAACTGGCCAAGAGGTTAGCCAATTCCCTACTTTTAATTTAAGTAGAGGTTTAAATGTTTTAATCATATAGTATATAATCTAAAATCAACTTATATATGCTCAAACCTTCTGCTTTCTAGGTATGATGGAGGATTTAGTTAGTATTTAGATCACCATTCAGCAGCCTTTCTGACCTTTTCATTTAAATGTAATGAGTTAGAAATTCTTATATTGTTAGGAAGTAATGAAATCCTGTACTTAACAAATATATGCAAACATCCTAGTAAGCCATGCTTCACAAGGCATGACAGCATCTATCATGTCACCTAAAGGTTTGCTTTTATGACTTAAATTTTATCTTCCCCTGAAAGGGACAACCAGATCAAAAGAAAATCAAATACTGGCCAACTTACCGCTTTTCCATAGTTCTTCATAATATTTCATTTGTATCTTCTACTGCTTTTATCCTTCAAGATATTGACATTGCAAAATGTTCTCTTTTTCCTGAATAGATGTCATTGATTATTTGCTTTACTTTAAGGGTTTCTCCTCTTCAAAAATCTGAAGTCGTTGAGATGGTTAAGAAACAAGTCAAAGTCATAACACTTGCTATTGGTGATGGAGCAAACGATGTTAGCATGATCCAGACAGCACATGTTGGCGTTGGTATAAGCGGCAATGAAGGCCTTCAGGCGGCTAACTCTTCTGATTATTCCATTGCTCAGGTAAAGTGTCATTTCTGTAAAACACTTCATTCAGTTAGGTGACACTGGGAAGAAGAAAATACTAATTTTTTTCCACTTTTATTTTAGTTCAAGTATTTGAAGAATTTATTGATGGTTCATGGTGCCTGGAACTATAACAGAGTCTCCAAGTGCATTCTGTACTGCTTCTACAAGAATATAGTTCTCTATATTATTGAGGTAATCATCATTAACTTTAAAATCCTTCCCACTGTCACTTGCACTTGTGACATGTAAAGACATTTCTTGGTGGGAAGGAGGAGGGTGAGGGGGATTAGAAATTTTATAAGATATTATCATTTCTTCATTTTCATTCATCCTTCATTTACCCACTTTTTATAACTTCTAAACAGACTAAAGCGAAACGTTTCAGTCCTGGAGAATAATTAATGTTAAAATGGTATATGACTTTAGTAAGAAGTGTTGAATTTGCTAATGAGATAACATTTTCTTTTAAATGTTTTAAAAAGACCATAAACTATATAGCATTTTTTTTGTAAGTGTCAAAAACAGGAGAGGAAAAAAAACACTTAATGGGGGGGAGGAGCTCTTTTTAAGAAGGAAAGTAATAGAATGACAGACTGCTGAGGGCGGCAGTTCAAAGGAGTAGAACTGGGAAAGGTGCACAGGTAATTTTGCTAATACTGGCCATCTTGTGGTCCTTCCAAGACTTGTTGATCTACAGTTGTCCTTCGCCCTCCCAGTGTCTTGGTATCTGAGTTTGGAAGCTAGCAAGAGTTCAGATAAAGAAGAATTTATCTTAAGATTTTCAGAATGTTTGTTTCCTGTGTCTGAGATACAAAGCATTTCCATGCTCTTTTTCATTCATCAAATATAGCATCACTTTTTTAAAAGGAGTCTTAGCCTGGATCAGGAATATCACACCTAACAAGATGCACTTGCTCTACAGAGATTTTTGGAGCACCTACTGGATTCCAGACACCAGGCTTAGTTCAGCAACTCCCAAATAAATTAAGTACAGTTCCTGTCCTTCAGGACCTTGCCATAGACAAACAGGGCAAACCACATGTGTAATTTTAAACATTCTAGAAGCCTCATTAATAAATAATAATTGAAGCCCAAATTAATTCTTAAATGAAATTTTATTTAACTCAATATTTTTGATACCATCATTTCAATATGTAATCACTATAAAAATATTGTGATATTTTACCATTTTTTCTTCATATGAAGTATTCAAAATCCAATGTGTACTTTAAACTTACTGTATATCTCCATGTGTACATTTAAGTGCTGCTCCAAAGCCTGTGGCCAGTGGCCACCATACTGGACAGCACAGCATTGGTGGATAACCAAGGGAAATGGAATGATTTATCATGATATGAGAATTAATTTTTTTTAACATATGCCCCTATCAGAAACTATAGCTGTTAAACTCTAAGTGTCATCAGTTTCTTACTCCTCTTGCAGCTCCACAGAACGATACCATGCGCTCTCCATAGCTTCAGCAAACCTCCCATCTCCCACCCTTATTAGAGGACATCTACATCCTCATGAATCTGCCCCAGGCACCCTGACAGCTGTCTTTGTCACCTTACCCTCTCATCTGTTGATAATTGCTTCACCTATGTTAGAATAGACAAAACCTAACCATGTGCTGTATTAAAATAATATCTAGTATTTCACAGCAGAGAATTAACAATATAAAAAAAAAATCAAATTTTACATTATCCTGTAGACACCTTAGTTGAGAACTACTATGTGAGTGGTTCAGTCACTCTATACTTTTTCCTTATACATATTCTTTATCCTTGTTAAAATTTCGACTTAGCATAGTTTTCACTATGAGTCTGGCTGTTAAAATGGAAACTTAGCTTTAAAGTGCGAGGAGAGTTTCATTTATTGGTCACTGAAATTCTCTATTTAGGTAACAGTTTATTAGATAAAATAACCAACTACTCAGAAACAAACAGAATAGCCTGTGAACTTATTATCCATTACTGCTGAATTTCACCAGAAATTGCCTACGTTTTGAAGCAAAATGCATTTCCAAAAAAAATTCTTTCATACAGGAATAAATATCTGATTCTTTTCTAAAATAACTGTTCTTCAGTATTTTATTTGGTTCTCAGCCCTCTCTTAGAATTCTAACTTTGTAATTATATTTCCTTTTCTCCCCAAACATTGACCTTCAAAAGTATATGTATTTATACTACTTAATTTGCATAGACTTTTGAAGATTCTAGAAGCTTAAAACCACTGGCAACAATAAACCTGCTTACAAAAATTTAATTTTGTGAAATGAAATAAGAGAGCTCAACTTGCCACTTTTTAAAATCTAGATTATTATACAATCAATAATGAAGGATTGCACTAGCGGAGGAAATAAACTATATTAAACTCAAATGAAAAATTAAATCTGCATGCTCTGTTGCAAATCCAGAGTTTTGTGATTTGTGGCTGAGTCGCCCTAAATTTCACTTGGCTTTGAATTTAAAACCTCTTCATGAGATATTTAACACTGACCAAATTCTTTACATGTTGAAAAGGAAGTGAGTTCTAAACCTTACTGGCAATCTCATTTCTAAGTTATTTTTCTTTTAGCACTTTATGGAAATGTATTTTGAATATAATTCAACTATCTTGGAAATGAATTGACCTTTTAAATCAATTCCCAGATAGACAACTTTTGCCAGCTAAAACAAGTTCTGCAGATGTTAATGGCTCATGTCAATACTGTGAGTGAATAGACAGAAAACACATCATTGAATGTCTCTAGTGAGGACAACTGCCAATCTCTCCTTTCAGTTTTTTTGTGCTGATCAGGCGTGGGAGCAGAGGACTCCCTGACTGTTTGTAAGCTCCTATTTAATATGCAGAAATGTTCCATCAGGAAAATGTCCGTGAGACTTTACTGCCACGCCTCTGCTGGAGTGTAGAAGTTAGAAAATAATATCAGGAAAGGCAGGTTTGAAGTTTCTTTGCTAATAAGGGATAGTCTGGAACTCCGTGGGTTTTATAGATTATCTGCAAACACTGCCTTTCCCATAGCTACCTCATTGCCATAAATTACTGCCAAACAAATACAGATTTGGCAGGTAGTGGTGTCCAGCACTTATGGTGCCCCTTATATACATACTGATGCCCAAGCACAAAGCTGGGTACTCCTTGAAATGATTGGCTTTTTCCCAAGAGTTTTTTTTTTTTTTTATCTGACTTCTTCCTAGCAAAACAAGACCTTCTCTTTCAAGCAATTGCTTTGCAATCAAGCTTTCTACTAAGGTAACAATGTGGTATTTTTCAGGGTAGTTTCCAGAAGTTTTGATTAAAGTCAATGAAACAATGCTTTCCCAGCACATTGTGCTGGATATGAATTTCCTGTGAATTTGAATATCCCAGATACCCCTCCCCAGGGAACTAATGTTTTCTTTCTGTATCCTTAGTTTGGATTGAGTCAAAGCAGGGAGTTTTATGTGTTTATAGTAATTTAGATATTGTTTTTATTAGTGTGGGATATGCTTCTAATGTATCTTTTAATTACCAACTTAAAGTCAGCTGTCTAGTAGACTTCTTCACTGTTTAAAAAAAAACTCATTTAAAATATGTAAACTTAAATGCCAAAATATTCATATGAAGGTATAGGGTACCATATCAGAAGGCTCTGTTCTTATCTAGTAGTTTTCCTTAAAAAAAGAAAAAGAAAAGAAACTGTGAAATGGTAACTTTTTTAACTGTAGGAAGAGAATTTATAAAAACATAAGCACAAACCTGTCTATAGGAAAACTAAAAAGTTAGAAATGCATTAACTTTCCACTTAAAAACTTATGCGTTTTTGTCATAAAACAGTTAATCCAGGCATTTTAAAATAAACTTGGAGTTTAGGCATGTTGATTTATTGGAAAATTATTTTGAATTTGAAACTTTGTATAAATATTCATTGATTTGAGAGAGGTTCTTAAATTTCAAGTTTCTAGTAACAGTTGAGTCAACACTGAACATTATTGCACAAAGAAATTGAAACCACCTATATTTAACCAATGTTTAGGCACACACAAATTTATTAACCTAAGTTTCTCATTGATACAGTACTGATTATTGCAAACGCATTTATACAGGTAACCTTTGAGATAAATCATATGCATTAATGAATTTAGTATGCGAAGATTAGGCCACACCTACATAAACCAGTTAAGTATAATTGAAAATAGATGTTTAAAATTTTTTCCTGGCAGCCTTTTTCCTGCCCGCCTGTAACTGTGCAGGTGTTTCTCTTCACAAATCTTTTCCCTTTGCAAAACAGAAGCAGTTCTCCTGCCAGTCTGAGACTATGCAGGTGCCTTCCTTTTTTCTTCCTCCTTTTCCTAATAAACCCGTTCTTTTAAAATGTTAAAAAAAAAAAAGGTAAATAGTCCTAATATTTCTATAATACTGTAAGAAATCTGACAACCTTCTGAGTATGTAATTCCACATTCTAATTGCCTTTGCGAGAACACTATCATCACGGAGACTATCACAAATATGTGGTCCCATCTCAAAAAGACCAATGTGAAAATGCAGTAGAGGGCAGTCATGACTGTTTTGTCGGCTTGTATGTACTCAGGTTTAAACAGAAAAACAGAAAACAGTTTAAAGTCAACTGTACTACCCTAAAGAATAAGCTTATTTTCGCACAAAGATGCTGTATTCTCTTAAAGCGTGCATCTGACTCCTTGTCTAGGACAAATGTTCAGTTTTCTTTTTCCTGAAACTACATGTAGTCACGTTCACAAGATTTTCAGATTTATCTCCAATGTCCCTGCTTTTGTTATTGTTGTTAATGTCTTGTCCCCATTCCCCCACCTCACACACATTTGAGACTGACTTTTCATGTGCTGCTGGCACTTTGTTTTCTTGTCCATCTCAGGAAGCAACATTCATTTTTACATACGCTCAGTCATTCCTTTTCACTATAAAAAGGAACAAGAGCAATGCAGTACAGAAGCTGTTCATAGGGAAGCTAGCCTGGGTACATATTGATAAATGGTGAATTTGTAGCAATTCATGTTTCTATAATGAGGATAAATGAAACAGTGAGGTGTGTAGCAAAGTGCAACTCTGAAAAATTCACTTGACCAGGAAGCCCAGTCTGCTTTCTTCTAACAGGTTTTGTTGTTGTTATGTTTGGGGTTTGTGCCTGTGTTTATGTAACCTCATTGCCGGGCCAGACATTTTATTCTTCCAACTCAACTTGATTTCTAATTAGATACTAGGTCCTTTTGAAAAATAATATAGGTTATAGTGATTTACTAACTTTAGCTTTTTTAACAATGTAGGTATTATTGATTTACTAATAACTCACTTTAATTGTCCATTTGTCTTAAATGTGTTAGAAACACTTTGTTTCGCTTTGAATTTTGCATGGAGTTAAGATTTCTTTTTAAGAGATATACAATGCATAAGAATATTATGTTTTGTTTCAGATTCGCTTTTAATCGAAGTACAAATTTAATTTACAAATTGGTTTTAATATGTAAATTCATATTTCACATCCTGATGGCTATAATTACATTTGAAAAAAAAATTAAACACTTATATACTGTTACCTAGAAACTTCATGTCTTTGAATTCATCTAAAAAAAAGCAAAGAGGTGTAAGAAAATTTTGATGGAGTATCTATTAGCTTAATTACTGAATGAGTATTCAGTGTGTACATATATTCAAAGCCACTAAATTGTGTGAAACTTTTTAATATAAACTATAGTTCAATAAAACTTTTTTATAAAGATTTCATACTAAGGAATAGAGAGGTCTAGGAGTTCTATATAAGGTCATTCAGTTCAGATGTATAATAGCAAAAATCAGAAGCAAGTTCTACCAAAAAAATAGCTATGGCCACACTGTAAAAAATATTAAAGGTGACATCATTTTAAAGGACATGGGACAACTTAAGAAAATGTATATCCTATTATAATGTTAAGATGGGTAGGAGAAGGGAATGATATTAAATACAGTAGGTTTCCAAGAAAGTCAATTTGTAAATATTGTATAAATCAACTTAATTGATACAATCAAAACAGAAGAAAATAGTGATTGTATTATTACAAGAAATTATTTTATTTTTAAAGTATTTTTTTATAAAAACAATAACAATGTTGAAGTAACAGGAAATAATTTAAAAGTACTTAAAGTTCTAAAAATGTGATGGCATTGAAATACATTCCCAATAGTGCTTTTTTAGAAAGTAAGGCTTTATTTAATTTCTTTGTAAATTTATGACTGCTTATTGATACATATCTTTGTTTATTTATTTAATTAATTAATGGAGCCAATTTTGAGCTAACAAATCCCTTAGAAATATTGCTATTTTCAAGAAAGGTGTGAAAATTATATGTTAATTCTACTGTTGTAAGGTGATACAGAATCTAAGCAATGCATTCATAGGTATTTTGTGTGTTCTAATTTGGGGGGGTTTATTCTTTTCTTCCTAGATCTGGTTTGCCTTTGTTAATGGCTTTTCGGGACAAATCCTCTTTGAGAGATGGTGTATAGGTCTTTATAACGTGGTAAGTTTAGTACATGTGATGATTCCTGTTTTACTGAATACTTTGAGACAAAGATTCACCCTGCATTCAGCTGCTTGGTATAATTACCAGTCTGTACACTTTAGATGTTTACAGCCATGCCTCCCTTAACGCTGGGAATATTTGAGAGATCGTGCAGAAAAGAGAATATGTTGAAGTATCCTGAATTATACAAAACGTCTCAGAATGCTCTGGACTTCAACACCAAGGTAGGACATACCTTGGGCCCTGGTACCCATAGGGGGGACTTACTTTTCTGCTATAGTTACTTGAAGGATCAGGCCTTCCTAAGCCATGGAGGCAATCCCAGGTACCTCAGATTTGTCTAACATTCTAATACAGATTGAGATGGCTTTTGCTTCATGTGGTCTTGTTTATAATATTAAAATGTAATTACAGTTCCCTGTAGTTTGCCTACATTAAGTGGGTATCTTCTTGGCCATCTGTCTTGCTACCTTGGTCATGGGGTGAGGAATACTCACTCCTTGCAGACTCCATCTCCCAGGACTGATAAGGACATGTAAAGTGGTGGGGGTGCAGTATCACTCTGTAGTCAGTTCTTGTTTTGTGGAATGATTTTTGTCCTCATCTGATTATCAGATCATTTATATCATGTGTTAAAATAATAGTGCTGGGAAATAATTCATTTAGTCACAACTCTCAGTGTTTCCTAGGAATAAAATTTAAAGTACAATATATAAAATGTCCAAAATTTTATCTAAAATCATTGTCTGGATTCGTGTCCTGCATAACTTGCCATGGACTTAAAGTCTCTGCTTGTCATCCAGATAACAAAAGTGTCTCATTTTCTGCCTAGTTTAATTTTCCTGCTAACCTATATTCTAACTATAGAAAATACGTTTCTACTCATGTTTGTTAGTAATTAAGGATTTTTTTTTTCGGTGTAAGGGGAAGGGGAACATTTCAATTTTATAATAGTCAAGGTAGATGCCACTTTGAAACAATAATAAAGCAATAAAATCAATGCATCTGCACAGAATTTTTTCCCATAAATATAGTGCATAATAGTAGCATGTAATTCATATTTACAAGTAACCTAAAGGCAGTATTTTGAATTTAGGATAGTTAATGTAACACATTGTTAATATTGATTCGCTCATAAAGTTCTCACTACATTTTAATCCCAATGTGCCTTAATACCCCCAGCATAAGTGACAGTGCCAAGTTGATAGCCACAATCTTATTCATTTTCTGGGCCAGCTTCATGAGGGCATGAGGGCATGGTGTGTGCTAGTCCAGCTGTCCCTCACAGCTGGACTGCATTTCATTAATCTAAAAACAAACTGAAAGGCTCTGAGACTTCTACCATTGTTTTGAAAATTGTTTTTCATGGTCTCTTCAAACCATTATTATAATATGCAATGCCTATGCTTTTATTTTTTAATTTTTATTTTTTAAGTTTATTTATGATGTCCAGATTGGATTGAATTATACCACCTTGGCTGCGATGTTTCTACCAACAATGGGTATTTTCAAGGGATGGAAAGCAAAAATTGGAGCCAATACAATGAACTATGAGTTCTTGTTTGTCTGAAAAAGTGAGCTGGGAACTAAGCAAATTCCAGATCACTGGCATTCTCACTGACTTCAACAGTTGCATCAACTCAGCCACAGGTCCCCATCTGCTGTAGCTCAGGCTCCACTGTGCTCTCTGGCAAGTTAACTTCCCAGCCACACACTTACATGGCACTCTTGATTGTAAATATAAGTTTGATCCTCATCGATTTACCCAAAATCATTCCTGGAAAATCACATTCTTTTCTGCCTTTTATATATGGCAACATGAACACAGCTTTGTAGCCAAGGATAAGGCAGCATATACTTTTAACAGGAAGTTTCATTCCTTGAATTTTCTGCTCTTCTTCTATTGCTTACAAAGTATTTCATTATCTACAGAACCCAAACGTTTAGAAAGTCATCAGTCAATCAGTCGATTATAGAACTTCCACATACATTTGAATATATATATGTACAAGTCACCTACCATTTTTCTAGTGTTTATGGATTTTTCTAAAGATTTCAGTGAAAATTCTTTGAATCCCCTGTAAGTGTTTTAAAATTCAGAGACAAATGACTACAAAATGCATAGTTGTATACACAGCAGAGGCCCTGGGTCCCCAACGTAGAAGCATTGTTGGCCTGAATGATGATGATTACATTTGTTATGGTAAAAAGGGTTGGAGGGTCCAAGGTCATGACAGGGGTTAAAGGATTAGCATGTGACAATAAGGACCGGGCAGGAAAATGGAAAAGTAGAACTAATTTTTCTTGCACCCACCTGTGCTTTCTGTCAAATAAAAACTTGTGGTAATGACATAGTGAGGAGAAGAGACAAAGGTTAATGAGTAACACAAGTTCAGATGTGTAATGTATTGGAGTGTAAATGGAATCATACAACCTAGTGTGACTGCAGGAACCAACAAAGGAGATTGAGATCACAGCGGAAAATTTTGGGAGGCAGGCAACTTAATTTCTGTTTGAACAGCTTAAAACTATTAATACATGCCAATTTTATTTAGCATAAGTTTTGCTTGCAAGAAGCACTTTTAAATGACAAAACTGCCACTGTTCAAAGGGCCATAAATTCTAAACAGTTTTTCTATAACTTAATCTTTCACATTCATGCTACAAAGAAAGTTCCAAGTGATACTTGGCTTTCTTGTTTATCAAGTACAATAGGTAGAGGGAGTAATAACTATTAAATGATGTTGTAATTGTGTAAAGTTTGATGTTGACAGGTGTTTTTTTTTTTAAAGAAATTATATAACTTAAACATATAATTGCTATCTTTACTATTGAGGGGTGTGTGTGAGAGAGAGAGAGAGAGAAAACATGCCCATATGCATTTTATCCTTTTGTTCATAGAGAGAATATATTTTATACTACTTTTCTTGCAAATGAGGAAGAGAAAATAGAGATTTCACCAAATTACAAGAATGTCAATTCTTCGGGAATTAAAAAAGTAGTCCTGCTTAAAGATTTCAGGACCTGTACTAACGTTTTCTTTTTCAAGAACAAATTTAAGCTGTTAATACTTGGTTTTTCAAAAGTAGAAAACATTTCAGTGAAGCTGAAAAAACATTTTGAGAAACATAAAAATAAATAAATGACCCATGAAGGTCTAAGAGGCAGAAAGTATCTGTCAGTTCTATTAATTCACAGTGGTGGCCCAACAGAAACACGTTTTGTGAATCCAGCTCACAGATAAAAAGAAAGGTCAGAGTTCAGAGAGCTAGTTTATCGCAAATGGTTCTCATGGATTTTTGTTTTCCCTCAGGTTTTCTGGGTTCATTGTTTAAATGGCCTCTTCCACTCAGTTATTCTGTTTTGGTTTCCACTAAAAGCGCTTCAGTATGGTAAGTAGAAAGAATATGAATGTGAAGAGATGACTTTTTACTTGTTCAGCAGAATAATTCATTGTCAATATTGCTAAAAATTATAGCAGTGTTTCCTTTTATGGTATTTCCCTTAACCTAAAATACACGCATATAAAAGTTGTACACATTTTAAAAGATTTTTATTATTCCTTTGGGAGCAAAGTGATTTAATATATGCAAAGCCTTTCTTCTCTACTTCTCATGTTTTTCAAACTTGCAGAGAGTTAAATTTTAGGGCTCTTTTTTCCCTTCCACTGATGTATAGTTTGAAGACAATTGTGCTAGTATTTTATGTGGTCTCTTTATGATACCTGTGGGGCTAGTATGAGGTTCTTCATTCTGAACCTAATCGGACATGCTAGTGTTTTCAAGTATAACTTGAGCTAATGTGTTGAATTAGAATTTTAATGTTTTCTAAGTTCATTTTGTAGTAGAAGCTTTTCTTCTGCATGTTTTGAGGAAGTGATTTTATTCTGTCAGTTTTGAGACCTGTGATCAAGGTGAATTTCTATACTCATGAAAATGATGAAGTAGCCACTTGGGAAAGAAATTCCCATGATGCTGAAGCAAAAGTTGTCATGTCCCAGGGCACCCCTCTCCCTTAGATCCTGGGGAGACAGGCATTCAGGGCCTCTGCTCCTGAACTACATACAGTAACTCAAATCCCAACACCCACTCCACCGAAGACTGTGAGTTAACGATCGCCAAAGAAAAGCAGGCACAGCAAACTCTGGGCCACTTACACAGTCTTTTCTCCACGGCAGCCAGGCCAATCCTGGTAAAACATCAATCAGACGAGGTGCCCTCTCTCCTCAAAACCCACAGACTTCTGTCACATTTAAAATAAAAACCACAGCCTCAAACTTAGCTAATTCTTCTGTTGACTTTCCCTGCTCAGCATGCTGCAGCCTGTTACCCCTTCCTCTTACCCCCATTTCCTCCTCCTCCACCCAGATATTCCAGCTGGCTCTCCTCCTCACCCCTCAGGCCTGTGCTCTGAGAGGCCCTCCAATGAGCCCATGGCACTGCTCCCACTTCTCCTGTAGCTCCATCCCTTGTCATCCTGTATCTTTCTCATGGTACTTGCTATGGGGGTGAGATGTACTGGCTTATTCTCTGTTGTGTTTCTCTTCTCTGTGAGGACCAGGAATTGTCCATTTAGTTCACCATGCCATTCCGTTGCTTAGAGAGATACCCTGCTCATCGCAGGCACTCAGTAAATTGTCAAGGAGTTAACAAGAGCATGCAGCATGAATAGGAGGACTGAGAGTTAAAGAGAAAGCAGTGGTTTTATGTCCTAGTAAGAGATATTAATCTGAATTTTTACAACTGCTCTGTCAGTACAACAGTAAATACTTCTAGTTTTCTAAACCACAGAAATGAGAATCCTGGTAGAAGACTGAGCCAGTAATACAGATGAATCACAATGGGATTGGGTTTTGTTCAGATATAGTTCACATACCATAAAATTCAACATTTCAAACTGTACAATTCAGTGGATTTCAGTATATTCATAGAATTGTACTAATGGCACCACTGTTGAAGGCTGGAACATTGTCCTCACTGCTTAAAGAAGCCCCATGCCCCTTGGCAGTTACACCCCATTTCTTCACCAATTCCAGTGTCTGAAAATCATTACAATTTGACTCTACATTTACCTTTTGTGCACATTTCATGGAAATGGAATCATATAATATGTGACCTTGGTTCATCCATGTTGCAGTATGATCAATTCTTTAATACTTCTTACGACTAACTAATATTCCATTGGATGGATATGAATATGTTTTGTTTTTCCATTCATCATCTGATATACATTTTAATTACTCTCACTTTTTGGAGCATGTACCTTTGAAAGCAAAAGTACAGGACCTTAAACAAGTTCTCCAAGTAAAATTTACCTTCAAAATGCAAACTCAAAACTGTTATTTTAAGATTTTACATTAGACAGAAGAAATTTAGTATCAAAACTATCTTAATCCAAATAGCATTAAAATGCTTTGGCAGTGTCGTGGTCTGAAAGGAATTCCCAAGAAACTTTAGCTCCTGGAGCGTAGATCCTCCTCTCCCTTTACATTTGTTTGCCTGGGAAACTGCTTAAGCCAGCCAGCCAGCCACCTTCAGTCCAGACAGTTCACAAGGGGTGCTTCCTGGGAACCCAGTCTAGCCAAGTCCAAAGAACACAGGCTTTCTCTTCTGAAGACATGAGTGGCATATATCAGAAATTGCAGTTTAATATTCTAATGTTGAGGGGTTTGATGGGTGGTAGATGTGGGGTTTTTTTTGGGGGGGAAGGCTGCCTTGTTTTTTTATTTTAATTTTTAGGAAAGAAGAGAAAGGGCAGGTTAGGTTTTATTATTATTATTATTATTTTTAGCTTTTTAAAGGATGAGGTGTAGAAGAAATATAAACTTGCATATAACTTGCTGCTAAATATTCATTTATTCACTATGATCTATAGACACCTGAAAATATCCAAGATCTCTTGGGGGTACATGAAGTCATTCTTTCATCATTTGAAATGAAGGGGAGACCCAAATATGATTATTTTGATAATATGTTTATGTTGGTTAAGGAACCTATGCAGAAGCATGGAAATCAGAAAATACCCAAGATATTTTTAATTATTTCTGAATTTCTGAATTTGTTAATTTGGTCCTACGGAAATTCAGAGATTAATTGCAGGCTTTCATAAGTTTGTCCACATTTCACTCACAAGTCATAACACATCAGATCCTTGTAGAGGAAGGTAGTCCCTGACTGCCTTGCTGTTGCAGCAGCCTTTCCTGCCTGCTTTTAACCAAAAACTTTAGAGAAGGGAGTGCCACATTGTGTAACATCTGACATGCATCATGTGCTGGGTACTTTACATATAAAGCCTCCTTTTAATCTCAGAATCCCTTCAGGACAGACAGTATAGCGCCATCTTTTAAGTGAAGAAACTGAAATCCATAAAGATTTATTATAAACAACCAACAGGACAGTTAGTAACCTGACCTCTAGCTGTGGCCCACTGGACTCTCCTTTCTTTTCATCCCACCACCTTCTCTCTGTACCTCATTCTAACAGGTTTTGTCCTTGCATATTAGGCTTTAAGTAAGTATTAAACCTGTACATAAATAAAAATACTGGGTTACAGAAATCATGGACTCCAATTTTAATGATACTAGTGATTTCATTATCCTGTGTGTGTGTGTTTGTGTGTGTGTGTACATACATACATATATATATATATATATATATATATATATACTTTCATTTTATTTTTTTTACCAGTAATACTAATATTAGTTAGCTACATTTGTTTGTCCTTGCTGGAATAACAAAATGCTATAAAATTAATGTATAAATTCAGCCAGACCTTCAAAAAGTCATATACCTGGAATCAAATCCGTGCTCTTCAGTCCTCTGTGAGTTACTTTTATGAATCCCTTTTGGTCCAGCAACTTTATTAAGAGAAAGTAAGAGTGCTCCCCAAAGGCCTCACGTATGTTGTTCCCTAAGTGCCTTATTAAGGCCACTGTGCTTTCTCCTGTCTTAATGCCCTAGCATTAAGCTTTGCTTGACCAATTAGTGTGTTTTTGTTTTTGTTTTTTTTCATCTATGGTCCCTGAGTCTTGGTTAACAAGTCAGTTTTCCTTCTTGTTGTTTGTTGGTTATTGAGAATTTGTTTTTAATTTGTAACCCACATTAATGGCAATTTGGGGGACTTCTTAACAGTGATTTTATAAATTAGTCTCTTGTTCACCATTTCTAGCTGATTTATCTTTGAAAGGATACTGAAAGGACCTACTTGTTTTCTAACACCTTTTTTGTTTTTTTCATACAGGTACTGTATTTGGAAATGGGAAGACCTCTGATTATCTGCTTTTGGGAAACTTTGTTTATACGGTGAGTCCACTACATTCACCTAGTTTGTATATAAAGTCAAATGCTTTTGTGGGTGCTCACCTTATTTTCACATTTAAACATTGTGTTGTGTTTCTAATTTAAAGGTTGTTTATACTTCTCTTTAAAAATGAGATAAAAAATTTTAACTTCTAGGAGATTATATTGGGTCATGAAATATTCCTTTAGGTTCACAGACTTTATAGGACTTTGGTTACTGTTGTTATCGACATTTCTTCTTGTGTTGTCTCATTTTTCCTTTTTCTCTCCTATATCCCTTTTCCCCTCAATTTTATTTTACTGCCCTTGTTAATATTTTGTTGCTTTATTAAATTATGGCAAAGATTGCCATCCTACTTGGGTGCTTAACCAGTAATTATTCCAGAATCTCCCATTAACTGAAATGGAAGAGAAGTCACCACTCTTTGGAGATATTTAACCCACAAAAAGCACACTGGGTTATCACTTTGCCAAATGCTTGGGGTTGGGCTGACACAGATAAGTGCAAGCCTCTCCTTTCTAAGAAACAAAAAAAAAAAAATGTTTGAAAACCATTTTCTGCTGAAAAGTCAAAAGCACTACTGGAATGCTAATGCCTGAAGTCACACAGTTGACATCTGATAAAAGTTTACTCCCACCCATAACTCAATTCCCAGGTCAATGTCCTTTGCTCTTTCTTCCTGTGTTCCTCTCCATGACCCCCAAGAGGGCCAATGTGCTATTTTAATACTCAGTGGCAATCTTTTTGGGTAAGTCAGTCGTTAGAAAAGTTACCATTTGGAGTTTAAATCACTGAATAATAGAATGTTACTGTCATTAAGTAACAGGAATTATTGGGAAATATGGGGGCATCTCCTTTCCATCGACATTAAACACTGTAGTAAAATAAGGGGAAAATAGGTGTGGGACTAGTGAGTTGTTCTCATACAACATGATAAAAAAATAAGTTAATACGTGATAGAGTCAGTAGAAGTTAATCAGAATGTGCATCATGGATCTCCTAGGGGTCCACAGGAGGATATTTCCCTTTAATTTGATGTCACACTAAATTTCTTATTTTAGAACTTTTCATAGAATTTACTTTTAAAATTTTGACCATTTATATTACTATCGCTATTGATCCTTGAATTGCCATTAAATATCTTGTTGGGGAAACTCAGATGCTTCACTGTAATGTGACCTTCCTTGACCACTCCTCTGGAGACATCTCATCAGATGCTACATGCCAGCCCTTAGTGTTGAAAGTAGGTCAGGGGACTAGAACTGAGAGATACCTTTCTCGAATCAGAGTTAGTCACCCTGGAAACCAACCCCATCTTCAGGTATTTTCCAGAAGTTACCTAGGTTAATACTAGTTATACCTTTATCTATTACACCAGTTAGGCAAATTGTAAGATTTGGGGAGATGTGAGCCAGGAACTGTGAATAAAGACAAAATGTGTATGAGAAATATATATACAGTCATTTAAATGACCAAATATATATATTATATAAAACAAAATATGAGCTATCATATTTATGACATAAAATAAATATTTTCCCTCTCTTTTAGTTTGTGGTAATAACTGTGTGTCTGAAAGCTGGACTGGAGACATCATATTGGACATGGGTAAGAGTATCTCTAATCATCACTTACTAAATTTACTTCTATATTCTCACTAGTGGGGAATCATTCTAAATTTATTCCTGTACCCTAGCTCCACAGGTTGTTTATTGAGGGAGGTCAGGGGTGGGGTGGGGGAAGCTGAAGACTCTAGTTTGTAAGACTGAGTATAATAAAGTAAATTTATTTACCATAACACTTCTCATGGAGTTTATTATACTACTGTGTTTTGTGGATACCCCAAGAAGAGGTAGGGAGGCTTCAACTTCTTGACTAGCAATCATTTCTTAGTAGAGTGTGTCACAAAACTGGAATTCAGCAGAAAATCCATTCAGAAATAATTCTGAAAACCATTATGAGTGGAAAATTGATCCTCAGACAATTGTAAATAGCCAAACTGAATAACAGAAGTTTCCTTTTAGATACATTGCTTTTGAAGCATATTTGCATCTAGAAATGAGACCTACTGAACATAAAGAAATGCAAGTTTGCTAATTATAGGAAGTGCTAGCACAGGAAATTTGGATTGGACAGCCATTGACATACAAATAGTATTTTTAAAGTGTCTAATATCTTTCAATAAGAACTTACAGAGCAAAAATGAAGAAGCTTAAAGATGGTAGGGGTTAAAAATGTTAGCATAAAAGGAGCAAACCACCAAAGCAGATGGCACAGGAACATCTCTAACTGCCCAAACCACAAACATCAGGGCTATTGTAGAAGAGATTAGCACTTAATGAGAGAGAAAGCTAAAATACACACACAATTATGGTTGACCCTTGAACAACAAAAGTTTGAAGTACACGGGTTCATGTAACGTGAATTTTTTTTCAATCCAGGGCTCTACTTTCACAGATTCACCAACCACAAATGCCAGTTGGTTGAATCCACACATGTGGAAGCAAGTATAAGCAGCACTGACTATAGGTTATATATGGATTTTTCACATATTGGGGTTAACCCTCAACACCCGACATTAGGATCAACTGTATTTGGAAATTCCTATCGATAACATTTTATTGATGTAATTAAAAATAAATAAGGGAATTTGTGAAAGCTGCATTTGTGTTCATGGGCTTATTCTACCCACAAGTTGTTTGACTCCAGTTTTCTCCCTTCAGTTCAGCCACATAGCGATCTGGGGCAGCATCATACTCTGGGTGGTGTTCTTTGGAATCTACTCATCTCTGTGGCCTGCTGTTCCAATGGCTCCTGACATGTCAGGAGAGGTAATGTGTTCTAATATATTTTGATCCAAAATCTTAGCAATTGGTATTCATTAATAAATCTAAGTCATTTGACTTTGTTTTATATTAAAATGGTATCTAACAATTTAAAAGCTCTTTTTGAGTTCCACATTGTAAGTGATCAATATTAAGAGAATATTTTAAACTTGGGCATTTTATGTCTTAAATCTGACTTATTCTTTCATAAACATAGCAGGGACAATAAAATATGTTGTCAAGAGCTTGAATCATGTTAAGTATATCCTTTAGAAGATGCCATTTTAAAATTAGACCGTAAATCCATAAATACATTTTGGGTAAGTGATTGGGGGAAATGGCGTACTTATATCTTGGGAACAGTCTACCATTTCTTCTGTTATCTCTTACTCTAAAGAAAATCTACCTTCAATGAGATTAAATGCACTTTTAGAGTTGGATAATGACATCAGTTTGGTTTTCATTTTGAAAGAGTATCTGACATTTCATCCTTATCATAGTCTATTTTCAATGCTGTCTTTCAGTTTCCCCTTACACTGGTAGGAATTGAGTTATTAGGTGTTCGTGGGAGAGAGTCACGAGATCTCCTTTCTTTCAGAAGAGATTCCAGCAGTAGGAGGGTTTATGATTTCAATTGCAGGAAATTTGACATAAAATGTATAAAAGAAAATGTGGAAAACATTTCAGGATTTCCTGTGACCTCACAGTAACTTGCAAATCAAGGGTAATGTGAGCTCCGTTACAGTACATTGTTATCCCCAGTCACAGGAAACCTTCCAGTGGTTTCCATGTATTTGTTGCCCCTAAGTACTGCCTGAGTACCTTTCACTTTTGACAGTCTGGTTTATAGATCATTTTCATGAAATTTTATCCGACAGCATCCTGCTTTTTATAAATTAGCAGAATGCAGGCCCATTTAAAAAAATTTTTTGTGGTTAAATTTATTAAAGCAAGGCATTATATAGTATTACAGCAAAACCAGACACATCAAGAAGCAGGTACTTCTCCCTCCAAAAGTGAAGCCTTCTTTTGAAACATGTATTGTGAACTCTAGAAAATGTACAGCATGTATTCTGAGAACAGAGAAAGCTGTGATTGTGTCTCCTTCTTACCTTGGTATCTGAGTCCTTTTTTCTTGGAGAAATGAAATCAATGAGTATGGATGTCTGGGGATGCCCCTTGGAAAACCCAGTTCTTCTCTGTGTTTTTATATGAGATGCTCTTTCTAATTGTACCTGACTTTTACCTAAATCAATTCAAAATTAATATATTTTTATTAGACCATGTTTTATCTCATTTCTAAGTGTTGTATCTTCAAAATGACTGACACAAAGGATTTTGAGTTCTACATATTTTAAGCAACAACTGTAGCTAATAACTTTGATGACAAGAACAGAGTTTTTGACCACTTGTAGGACAAGTGTGAAGTTGGACTGGCTTTTGGCCAACCAGATATAACTTTGCCCGTGCCTGTAGAATTCCCAGTATTACCCAGACACAAAATTTAATATCATCTCTTGAGACATGCGGTGTTGCTGTGTTTAATTCAAAGTGAAATGGATGTCAGTACTCCATCATGTTTCTGTACAATTTTTATATAATGGAAAGTGCTAACAGCAGTTCTTTACCATGTTGTTTTATTACTACTGATACTTTAAATATAATGTATCTGGTGTGCCACTGAAAATCTGAAAGGAGATTAACTCAGGTGTAGGCTTTACTAATTGTACAAAATATAAATCCGGTAAATTTATTGAAAGGAAAGAGTAATACTATAAATTTATGGTGTACTGGAGTGCCTATAAGGCATTTTGATGTGGTGTGTGTGAGAGAGACAAAGCAAGAATGTGCCTCAGAGTAACTCCAAAACAAGAGAATAACAAGAATTCCATTCAAACTCTCAAGAACGAATAGTATACATTTACTGTTAACTGGTCATTAATACAACCGTTACTCAATTTTTGGAACTATCCATGATGGGTAGGTAGAAGGTTAGGTAGAGAACTAGAGGTATAGTGCCAAGGAGAGAGTCATAGCTTTTATCATTATAATCCTGTTAATTTCAAACAGAAGTAACTGCCCTTCAGTTTACATTTTTTTCTAATCTTAAAATTCTGCATTACAATCAAGAGTACAGCCAAATACCTACAAGCACGCACATACGTATACACATACATGAAAAATTTATGTGCCAGAATTTTATCTGTATTATACAGAATTGGTCAACCATCTTGAATAAAATTTACTTACTCACCTGTTAATTTTCATAGCCATTTACCACCATAACGTATATTACATATATATTACGGGTTACACATTATCATGTATTATTATAAATACCAGGTTACATATAAGTATTAGCATTCCCTGTTTTACATAAGACTGTTCACAGGTTTTGTGGGGTGGTGTGTACGTAATTTTCTCTCATCACCACTAAGAGAGTGGTAAGTGTCTAATCCAAACACTTGAATTCCAGTCCTTTCCTGTATCGATTTGGTAACAGTCCCAACTTCCAAAACTAAGTGATTAATAAAATATTATTATTTTACTTGGATCAGAACTGAGTGTGAAATCACAGTGCATAATTGTTTCAATGTTCACACACATCAGCTCTACGAAGTATCAAGCAATTTGGAGGTCAGGTTAGTTTCCATTAGTAAATATGGTTCAACTAACTTTGAGTCAGATGCTCTCTAAACAAGTCAAATAGGGAGAGGTTTTGAATGAGGGAATTAATTATAGTTAATTCTGTTCCACAGAAGAAAAGAAACTTCCATGGCATGGAGAATGTAAATAGTTGGAGAGAAGAGAAAATCCCTTTTCTATTTTCTTGACAGCATCACCTCCTCATTTCTTCTCTCTGATACATTTCAGTGGTCCTGTTCTACTGGTTGTCAGAAAATCATGGCATACTTTTTCTGTGGTTTTCGAGCAAAAGTGCATCATGATTTCCCACCAATCTGTCTCCCTCACCTAAGCCATAATAATCAATCCAGAATATTTAAACAATTTCTTGAGGCTCTACTGCCTCTTCATTCCTTTACCCATTCACACCAATAGAACAGTGTCAGGCTTCTATTTCCCCACAATTAAGTGTTAAGTAGGTGATCATTAAGTAAATCTGTTTGCTTGCTTGCTTGTTTTGAGCAAATAAGAAGCAATGGTGTAAAGGTGTTAAGGGTGAAATTCAGCTCAATAAAAACATTTCCCTAACCATCTTGTAATCCTCAATGTGGAGATTTCCTTCAGCAGGACAGGATTTCACTAACCCTTCTTTGTTGGTCACTGGTTAGCTGGTTGCTATGATGCTACTTAAGCAGAACCCCATTTGGCTATACCCACTAGGTAGCCTTTCAACTACTAAAACTGGGGTCCCCTGTATGCTTCTCTTTCTGTGTTCTTTCCAGAGGGTCATCTTAAATGTTGAAAGAGTACAGACTCTGTTCCACTCTAGTTCACAGGACCTCAGGGTGCAAATGATACACAAATTAAGCAACTGACAGATGCATGTCTTAAGCTTCTATGTTCAACTGGACTATAGTTGCGCATAGATCAGGATTTCATAGTTACTTCCAGTTTACATTACTGGTTCATCTTTGCAGTCCCATCTGAAGACTGAGCCATTTCTCTCAATTTGTTGAAAGAAAATACCTGGTTGTATCAAATGGGATTGGGGAGAACAGAGGGTACCAACATTTATTGTATATCTACTATGTTCCCACACTATGGATTTCTTTGTGGGTTTTGTTGTTTGTTTTATTATATGTGCATATCACAAAGCTTTGTGGTAAACATAACAATAGCAAGTGACCGAGAGAATTGATCCCAGATGTAACTTTTCTAATTTCTGGAGTTTTCACGAACATCCTGAGGAGCTAAGAACTTTTTCTTTGGAGCCCATTGTTATTCCTTCTTCCACTTTCCTAGCATTTCATAGATTGCCCTGATTTATCTGATGTTTCCCAGGATATATACCTGTGGTCATGACCAGTTTATTTAAGTTAGCCAGATACAGGTATTCCATCTCTTTTTAAAAGTGTTCAGATTTTTTTTTTAAAGATTTATTTATTCATTTGTACAGAACTGGGGTACAGGCCAGAGATGCGGAGGGTGAGAGAATTCACCAGAGACAGAGTGGGGAGCAGAACAGGCAGATTGACAAAGTACACTGCTGAGGGGAGCAGTGGGCGGATCAGGAAGGGTCTGCCGCACCATGTGGTCACCTCTGGGGCAGGCAGGGATCGAACTCATGCAGAAGTGGCTTTAGCTTCTCAGTGCTGTGATTTAACCCGCTGCGCCACCAGGGAGGGCCAAAAGTGTCCAAATTTTTATTCCCACTTTCCAACACCCGCCTAACTCACTGAATCCCATTTATAAACATTCTATCCCATTTCATATCCTAGCCTCTTACCAGTAATATTAATAAAAACAACACCCATCTCATTGTTTAAAAAAAAAATTCATTAAATTGGGAACCAAATCCTCTCACATCATTAGAAAACATGCAGTTACAAGGCAGAAGACAATTGGATCTCATTTACTAAGGATCAGTCATTGCTCCAGCACTTTCTATGTCTTTGCTGATTTGACAATGAAAGCAATAGCAACACTTCAAGATGGTTCCTATTACACATTTCACAGAAAGAGTAGTTAAGTAATTTTCTCAAGATCACACAGCTTGTGTCTGAGCTACAGTTAAAATTCCTTTGCCACTATACAGCCTATTCTCTGTTCCTTTTCCATTTCTTCTCTGGCTTTTCATTCACTTCTCTCTACAAAGGCTGTTCTCGTAACTTTTAGTGTCAGCGCCACCCAAATCCTTACTTCCCCTGGTAAACTAAGCAAGCCTCCATCTACATGTATGTCAGTTGCTGCCTCCAGCTACACTCAACTGCCTGTGTCACTGACCAGGGGTTCTTTTCACACCCTGAAATAGGTTCTTACCCCCTTACATCAGCACATTCAACATGCCTGGAATTATCAGGATTCATTTCCCAAATATCTCA